TTTCAAATCCACACCGTTATCCCCGCTTTAAACAATTTGCGTTGACGTGCTAAACTATTACACACTAAACCCAGCGTGACACACTCATTACAAACCTAAGACTTCCCTAATGTGTCTTACATACGAGAGTTGCATAAGGGCGATTTAATGTTGGCAATCTACTGCAATTCAGACCGTGATTTTTTACTTGCAAAATTATAACGAGATTCGTAATAAAGTGAGTCTGCGTGAATCGTTTTTTTATTATTAATGGTTAGAAAATGTGCATTTGGTGTGCGAATTAAAATAAGAGAAATAGTGTGTTTGAAATAAGTTCCAATAATATTGCATACTCATCTGTAAAATAGTTACATCGTGGCGCTATCTATCGGTTGAAGTAATTAATAAACGCGCATATATAAAAGGGTATATTCGTTACTGGATAGTTACGTACATAAATAAGTAGCTATAGTATTCAGTTCAAAAGTGTTTATTTTCGCTAAACACATTCAATTGCAGCTATACCGTATAATGCCTATACCCGCACATGTATATTGTGCGGCTATGATCGCGTGTGTATATTGTCACGCGTATATATTGTTGAGCACTCACCTGCCGTCCGTCGAACGTGTACAGCTTCTTGACGGGTCCCGTGTCGAGCTTGATCGCGCTCGTGATGTCGTCCAGCACCTGCTCGAACGAGTGCGCCGTCTTCTTGTTGAGCAGGATGCGCACGGCCTTGCGCGGCCGCACCCCGTTACGAATCACCGTCACCAGCTTCGGCCGCACGTAGCCGCGCACGTCGTCCGCGGGGGCGCCACCGCCACCCGCGCGCGGCAGCGACAGCTCGGCGGCCGCGCTCAGGTTCGGCGTGCTCTTGTTTTGCGTCGTCGTCGCCGCCCACGAGGGCGGGGCGCTCTTCGCGTAGTCGACGCCGCGCTTGAAGTGAGCGTCCGACGCGCACACGTAGCAGCCGCCGTCGGCGAGCTCGTCGAGCGACGCGACGCGGGCGCCCTCTAGCGTGAACAGCTGGCGGACGCCGTGCGGCAGGTTCACCTGGTCGCAGAGCGTGCGCGTGAGGTCGGCGAGCAGCACCTCGAGCGTGCGGTACTTCTCGGGCGTGATCGCGTACGTGGCGCCCTTGAAGAAGCGGTCGCCGTTGCGGTAGAAGCGCACGCGCTTGGCGCGCTTCTCGGCGCTCAGCTTCCACAGCGACGTGCGGATCATGTAGCTGTGCGCGCTGTGCGTCGGGCTCGCCCGGCCGTTGCTGCTGCGGTGCGATGGCGCCGATCGCGCGCGAGCGCTCGCGGTGTCGCCGAAGTGTTCGCTGTAGCGGGGCGAGCTGAAGTCGGTCATGCTCCTGTAGCGGAGACAGAGAGAAGAAGATGTAGATTGTTAGATGTGTTGTTGGAGATAGATGGATTAGATTAGATTACATACAATGAGAAAATCAGATTGGATGATATAAGGCAAGATAGATGGACAGACAGACAGATACACAGACACACACAGACAGACAGAGAGACAGACAAACAGGCAGAGGACATACAGACATCACACAGATATAAAGGCCGCGAGACGAATCGCTGTGTACTCTGTCAGCATCCTAGCTCGGCGAGCACCGGCCAACTTCGTTAACGACCCGGCGTGCCAATTAAGGTGTGTTTTCTCACTCACAAAGGTGCGCCAGGGCTGCGGCTAACGACGCGGCGGTTTACGTAGTGCACGGCGGGTCACGACGGCCCGATTAGATGTTTGTTATCGGTGACAAACGTTCAAGCACCTGCATGAATCATCGTATTTTAACACCGACACGCTGTTAAAATGGTTAAAACATAAAAATGGGCCTTTATATAAATGTCAAAAGTTAAATTCAGCAATGGGAGCCCCTTTATGGTTTATGAGATGACCGGTCAACTACAGTGAATTATTCCCTAAAACTGGAACTGACGAGATTTCGAGGAACGTGCCCTGCACACTTCCGGCACATCAAATTAGGCATATATACGTAGTAAACAGTTCCACGGCAATAAAAATTCAATTTATAACATGTTGCCTACATGCAGCCTTGAGCAAACAGGGCTTTTATATCAATTAAAGTTCTGTTAAAATAATTAGGCTGTAAATTATGCCGGAGGCTGATTAGCAAGGCATACTGTACAGCGTTTTTATAATTAACATAATATAAGAGATTATGGCTAGAGATGTTATCCTGTACCCTCACACACACACTGACATCTGTCTGGCTGGCATTCACATTTCACCAGCAGCACTACACCTACGTGTAGATTTAAAATGAACATCTGTCACGTATATGTGTGACAGCACATGAATACATGTATTAGTAGTCATGCATTCACACAGGCAAAACGCGCACAATGAATTCGGCACCATACACATACATGTACGGTTCAATCATGAACTTTTGAGTCATCAAATTTAATTACAGGCTTTCGATAAGGATAGGATTAGGATATAGTTAAGGATAGGATTAGCGTTACAGGTAGGATTACAGGTTAGGGTTAGAGTAATAATGATGGCAATGATGATTTATGTATCTGGTTCTCAAAGTAGAAACGTCCCAACATGTACATTCGGGCAAGGTCCTTACCACATGATGACAACTGCACTAGATGATGCCTATAAACAACACAATGCCTACAAAGGCTCCTGTTTCTCAGCAATGTTCCTACTTCCTCTAGTCCTGCGAAGAAGCACACACTGTCGTCACACTTCACCGTTCCTCCTCCTCCTCCTTCTCTTCCACCACGCTATACCTCCTCCCGCTTCCTAGAGACCTCTTCCAATACCTCCACGTGCTTCACCCCCTCCTCACTAAATCCCTCTGGCACTTCAACGACAACGGCCGGCCGGCGGAGGCGCGGTAGAATAGCCGAGGTTGGCTGGTGACGCGCTCGGTCGGCCGTACTAGGCGTCTGCTCTCTCACGACGTGCGCACGGGGAGCCGGCTGACGACACAGACCCTACTGGCTTTGTTCCCGGCCTGATCAATACTGGGAACGGATCTGCACATGGCGGTGACTCACGGCGCGCAGGAGGCGGCGGCGGCGCTGCCCGCGATCGTCGATTTAATTGAATCGACGCATCGAGCGATCCGTTGTCGGCACGCACCCGGGGACGCGTCTGACCCGGCATGGTAGCACGGTCGCCGGTGACGCGGGAGCAGGACTCGACAGAGAGGGTGCCACGCGTTAGTTACACGCTCAGCCGAATACAGGGGAAACGATAATGATGCGTCAGTCATCAATAAAACACTTACTCGCAATGTTACCTTCTCTCTACCCTCTATCATGCTACCTTCACTCTACTCTCTGCCACACTACCATCTCCCTGCTACGCTCCCTTTCGCTATACCAGGGGAAAAATTACTTTTTTTTCACAGGAGCTCTTTTCCAAGTCTGTGGAAAAAATAGCTCTCATCAAAAATTTTACGGGAGTTATTTTGAGCCTCACGGGAGCGATTTCGGAGGTTTGAAGAGCGAATCGCTCATCGCTCCCGTGTATTTTTTACCCTGCGCTATACTCTAATAAACTAGATCTCACCGAATATCAGATATATTACTGATTACTTACTTACTTAAAAATCACCTCGAGTTTCTGCTGTTGTTGGCTAATAAACATCCATTTGAATGAACGGCAAACTTACACAGGTCTGCATTCCTGAGATTCACGAAAATAAAATGTGAAAATTCTGCCACAAAACAAGTAAAGTGCACCTGTTTACATGAAGTAAACTGTTCTAGACTAGTACCCTATCTCCACACATAGACAAAGGTAACATCAGGAGGTAACATGGTATAGAGACAGGGTACCAATCAATAGCATCTCGTGATATTCGAATATCACATGACGTTGACATGTGTACAGTGTAAGCGAACATGCTTTGATGCATATTTGCTAATTAATTAGACTAATCATACTTCAATAAACTCAAAATTCACAGAGATTATAGCTAAGACATGTATCTATAATAGCTAGAATTTATAGAAGTGTTACTCAAATCGTTCGTGCCATGATATGATAGTTAGTACACTTTCCTACAGGTCAGCGTAATAGCGTATGCGGCGGGGTATGCAAAACTAGTGCCGCAACAGCGACAGGGCTCATCTGCTGCTCTACTGTACTGGCTTTCGTTTCTGCAAAAGGTTGAAAGCCTGTTCTATCGCTAAACCGGCTACGTCATCATCAAAACTGTGTAGCATAGGTATTAACACTAAAACTAAACCCTAACATTGCATCCTACTTCATACCTGCTCGACTGTCTTATATATTCGTGTCATAATGTATCACTAGGCCTATAGTTGCCGCGCTATCGCGTGTGCAAGTGTAATCAATAATCAAACATGGCATCGACCTTCGTGCATTGGTGATAAGTCAAGAAAGTAGAGATACCTTAATTCATTGAGTTGCTGAAATATACAAGCTAAAATCCAAGTATATTCAGGGCAGGATTGAGATTTGGCTCAGCTGTTGAGCTAATAAATTAAACACATCTGCATTGCAGGTGTGCATAGTTTATTAGAAACGTGCCAGTTCACCCCATGCATCAGTAATGGATTGCCCCCGGTTTTGCTTACATTTTCAGTATTGACCGGTAGCCACGCGCTAGCATTCAGGGTGGCTATTAGATATAAGACTGCCTTAGAAAATATATGATTTAGGAGATGGTAACCTTTTGTTCAAAAATTTGTCGTTGCAATTTACTGCACAAATGCTAGCTTCACATCCACCCACAGTATGCGCTCTAATTAATAGCAAAGCAGTTTCAGTCTTTGTTAACGAGTAACACAATCTCATAGTTGAACCCCTCCTTTTCAGCGGTTCAAAAGGTTATCAGGCACTTAATCTTTTGCACGGCAGTGAGAAGTCACATTTCATGGTCTTTTCAATAAAGCCATAAAAATGGTAGTCACCGCTGACAACAAAAAAGTTTTCTCAATTCTGCTCCGTCAGACTATGTCCTCAGAAAATCTAAAATCTGCCCTGTGCCCCATGTGACTTTGACCTGTGACCTCCAATTTCGGCACAGTGATGCCTATTTTCCTGACCATGATGCTATACACCCGACTATGCCGAGCCTAGTCGAGCCGTTTAGATTTGTGCCCGCAATTCTCATTTCCTCCCTTATACTTAAGTTAAGGAGGGAAATGTTCCCCTTCTTTTACACCTTTGACTTTGACCCCCAGGCTTCGACATCCTAACTCGTTTTCGGATTACCCTCCCAATCGCCGAATATCGTGACCGTACGTCGAGCTAGTTAGTTTGTGCCCAACTGTTTGACGACGGACGAGCGGCGCACGGACGCACGGACAATCATGTGATTCTACAAGCGGCATCTGACTACGTCAGATGAGCTAATGAAAACGAAACGTCACTAATTCTATTTTTATCCTCCAATCACAGGTCAAAGCAATTCTTCTGTTTAGACGCATGTCTATAATAGGGTCACCGAGTCAACGGAACGTCAGCTTCCTAGCTATACAACTATTTAATCAATGTGACCAAGTGCCAATGCCTTGCTCACTCCACGTGGGTGTTAACACACGTCAACAATCCTATGCTATATGTTGTTATGCTAATATCATGTTGTTATGACTCGCAGAAACTTCAACATACTCATAGTCATATGTCATATGTCTTCAAGAAACAACTTTATTACACAAATTCGCTATCTCATCATCTAAGGACTCAGGGTCTAACGAAAACAGGCAGAAAGTCACGTTAATTAAATTAACAAATGCTACTGCGACAGCGTAAAACGGTGCCTTATTTCACAATTAACTAGAGGAGCGAAGGAGGAATTCGGTCGCAAGCTAAGTACATGAACTGACACAACGTAAACGCTTGCCACTACTCGCCAGCCTTTCGCCACCTCAATTTCGTACTCAAGGACTATGGACTAGTACTTACTACTAGTAATACGTATATAATATAACTAGCCGTATTCCCTGGGGCATATTACTTACTGTAAGAGTGGTTAACACAGTTACCATAACCACTTGAAATAGTCTCGCAGTAAGGAACATGGAGACACTTCCAAACTACATCGAGTCCACACTCGTACACTGAGGATTAGAGATAGCAAAGATTGGTGAGCCCATGAGCGAGATGCGCCATCTGTTCGTGCGATTTTGGGAACACTGCTTGCCTATGGTAGACTAACGTGCATATAAATTTCAACGAGCCGTCACTTCGACTTCTTCGCTTCGATCCTCTCATCCCTGCTCTCCGCCTCTACACCAGGGGGGGGGGGGGGGGGGGGAAACTTGTTGGCGCCCTTAACTACCGTTTGTTATCTCTGGTCATGCCGGCAGGGGTTGACGTCAGAAACCCGCTTATAACACTAATGAAATATGGAACCCTGAGGTTTGTGTGACGTCGGCCGCCCGGCGTGGCATTGCAAACGTATTGCGTCCATATATAGCTACTAAACACATAACTCGTGTATCTACTTTGGTTAGCGCCAAAAGTTCCATAGATGAGCGCAATTTTACTATGCAGTTTAATGCCAGACATTGTTTCTCAGATGAGAAGAACTATTATCATTTTACCCAAACATTTTTAACGGGAAAGATCTGTCTCCTTTGGTGCAGCCCTAGCAGGGTAATAGCTTAAATCTTTCACATCAAGTGAAACAGTTACAGGTGTCTAAAACTGAAAAGAAACCTAAGCAGTTAGCCGTATATAAACAAATCATACATTCACGCCATAACACATTTAGACCTTAACAACATAAAGGCCGCCGCCCACATCCAGCGAGTTTTACAACCGAGTATTTCAAATTCCACACCGTTATCCCCGCTTTAAACAATTGCGTTGACCGTGCTAAAACTATTACACACTAACCCAGCGTGACACACTCATTACAACCTAAGACTTCCTATGTGTCTTACATACGAGAGTTGCATAGGTGGCGATTTATGTTGGCGCAATCTACTGCCCATTCAGGACGTGATTTTTTATTGCAAAAAATCTATAACGAGATCGTAATAAAGTTAATCCGCGTGAATCGTCTTTTTTTTATTAATGGTTTAGAAAATAGATGCATTGCGTTGTCGCGAATTTAAAAGAGAAATAGTGTGTTTGAAATAAGTATCCAATAATATTGCATACTCATCTGTAAAATAGTTACATCGTGTCGCTTATCTATCGGTTGAAGTTAATTATAAACGCGGCATATATAAAGGGTAGTATTCGTTTACTGTGATTAGTTACGACATAAATAAGTAGATATCGTATTTCAGTTCAAAAGTTTTTATTATTCGCTAACACATTATAATGTGTATAGCAGCTATTAACGTATAATGGACCTAATTACCCCGCCACATGTATACTTTGTGGCGGCTATTTGATTCCGCGTGTGTATATTGTTCCACGCGATATATATTGCTAACGGCCGTATTGTCACGCGGTATCAATATATGTGGCTGGCGGTATATTGTCACGCGTATATATTGTGTGGGGTTATTGTCACGCGTATTATATTTGTGGATGTGGGGTATTGTAACGCGTAATATATTGTTGTGGGTATATTGTCACGCGTATATTATGTGCGGCGTATTGTCACGCGTAATATCATTGTTTGCGGCGTATGATGTCGCGCGTATATATTCGTGGGTATATTGCTCAACACCGTATATATAGTGCAGGGTATGATCGCGCGTATATATTAGCGCCGAGGGTATATTGTCACCGCGTATATTATTTAGTTGCGCGGTATGATCCGACGCGTACTATATGCGCGGGTAATATTTGACAACGCGTATATATAGTGCCGGGTATGATCGCGCGTATATACTTGCGCCGGCTATATTGTTTACACGCGTATAATATGTGCGGGTATGATCCGCGCGTTAAATATTGCGCGAGGTATATTGTCACGGTATCATATTATGTGTGGGTATATTGTCCAACGCGATATATATTTATGTGGGTATATTGTTCACGCGTATAATATTGTGTGGGTATATTGTCCACGCGTATATTATTTGTGTGGGTATTATTGTCACGCGTACTTATATTGTGTGGGTATATTGTCACGCGATTATATATTGTGTGTGGTATTATATGTCACGCGTTAATATATTGTATGGGTATATTGTTCACGGATACTATATTGTGTGGTATATTGTCACGCAGATATATATAACTTGTATGGGTATATTGTCACGCGTATATATTGTGTGCGGATATATTGTCACGCGTATATATATTGTTATGGGTTATATTTGTTCACGCGTATATATGGTGGGTATATTGTCACGCGTATAATATATCTTGTATCAAGAGCGGATAATACTAGGGGGTGTACAACGGAAAAACTTGGAAAATAGCTGGCCTATTTTCACGACTCACATTATTCTACTTTGCCTTGCGGAGTTCATAGAATAATTTCATGGTATTGCATTAGCAGAATTCTTTGCCCTCTCTTAAAACAAGACAACCGCTTGTCAAATTACGCATACCTCCTAGCGGAGATATCGGCTCCTAACCTCCCCTCCCACATGCCCAAACGCCTACCTGACATCCACTTCTGCCACCATCCTACACGACGGTAAGCATTTGCTATCAGGTTTCCGTCACCATATGGGAGCGCTGATAAATTGATGTTCATATGCCCAAATTTTGTTACATGTTTTTACTACACTTTAGTAACTGAGCTGCGTTGATAAAAACGTTTGATGGAGCCGGCACTCCATCATGACGGGCCGCTAGCCGTGCTAGGAAAGATAATGGAGATAAGGGCAATAGGCGATGCCCCGAATGTCACCTAATTGATAACCGAAAGCGCGCTCCATTCATAAATTTTACTCCGCGAAAACCGAACTTTTCACGAAGCAACGCTTAGCGCGTTTTTTTAGGAATGGTGGCAGAAGCTTGGATTCCGCAGGTGGCGTTTTGGGCATGTGGGGAGGGGAGGTTTTAGGAGCGATATCTCGCCTAGGAGTATTCGTAATTAACAAGCGCTGTTGGTCTTGTTTTAAGAGCAAAGAATTCTGCTTAATCGCGAATACCATGAAATTATTCTAGACTCGCAGGCCCAAAGGGTAGGAATAAATCGTTTAGTCGTGAAATCAGCACTATTTTCCCGTTTTTCCGTCTGTTCACTCTACGTGTATTATCCGCCTCTCGATTGTATGCGGTATATTTGTCACGCGTATATATTTGATCGTGGCGTTATATTGTCACGCGATATATATATATGTTATGGTTATATTGTCACCCGCGTATATATTGTGTGGGTATTTGTCACGGCGTACTATATATTGTCATTGGCGTATATTGTCACGCGTATATATTGTGTGGGTATATTGTCACGCGTATATATATTGTATGGGTATATTGTCACGCGTATATATTGTGTGGGTATATTGTCACGCGTATATATATTGTATGGGTATATTGTCACGCGTATTTATTGGTGGGTATATTGTCACGCGTATTTATTGTGTGGGTATATTGTCACGCGTATATACTGAATTGTAAAATGAACTGTGTAGATAAAACACATAATTTATAGTAAAATTACAATTATTTGTTATAATAGTGTCTTAATTTACCTTGACAGGCAGATCAACCAATCATTATCGCAATCGGAAATTCCAAAAGACGATAAATAATATGTGTACGTGTGTGCGCGGGTGCGTGCGTGCCAGCTATATAATAGAATATAATAGAATAATATAATGTAAATGCAACCGTTATGTAGTCCCAGCACATATTGAAATGCTCGTGGTGGTGCACCTGGCTCAACTGTTAATGCCATGCTATTAGACGATGTCAATGATTAAAGCTACCACAGCATCAATGCCCTCATTACCACCGAACCGTCCTGTGAATGATGATGCAGTTCTGCTAGATCGAATTCATTAACTTATTTAGGCCAATTTCATTTACATTTTAAATGAGGGGGGGGGGCGCGCGCCCCTATTGTTTTAATATATGAATTAAACAGATTCCCTAAATCTCTTATCTGCTACATTTATAAATAATTAATTAGGTTAAATTATGTCATCGATACGAGTATATGATTACGTTCACGATCCAGTAAAGATAATACGCAAGTCTTCAGCCATGCTGAAGATTATTAACCAATTGCATTCACTTTCTGGGCTGGCTCTCATTGTTTCCACAGTGGGAAAGATACAAACTAAGCAGTAGATTGATAGACAGGCGATGTTAAACTTTTTCGTTCTTTAAACTTGTTTATGTGGTGCATGTTTTACTGTTGAATGGTGTAATAACGACATTGATATTATCTAAAAATTAATTTTATACATCGTTAACATACAGAGCACCTATACTTTGGCAAAGATAAAAGCATACATGCTCCTTAAAGTTTAAAAACCCTTTATTATTACTGGATAGGTACTATTTCATATTAAATATTGGTCACTTGGGGTGTAGTAACATACTTGAACATTTTTAAATTGAGTATGGCCAATATTTAAACTGCATTAGGTAATAATCGCCACCCGAAAAAATCCAAGTCTAACATTGTCATATCCCTGAATAAGCATTTACAACCCGTGGTTATAAAACAGAAAACAATCTCTGACACAACTATTTTGGACTCAAAATTATCAGTTATGATTAAAAAATATTATCAGGATAGACTCCTGATATTATGCAATACATTTTTTCATTGTTCTCTTACTTTGGCACTTGTACATAACACGGTGTATTTAGCAAGTCTATTAATTAGTAATAATCATGCGACTCAGATACAAATATTCACGACTTTTAACATTTTCCAATCGCACATGGTACCTGCAACAATGCAGTGACACAACTAGTTCACAAGGTTTTTAAAAAAACATGAAATTCTTCTAATGAAACTTTAGCTATATTACTGCAAAACTTTCCGTCGGTGCCTGACACCAATGCTTTAAGTGACACGTAGTTTGGTTTCGTGTGATCATATTGGTTTCTGCCCAGAAAAGACAAGAATAGATGACGTTGCTTAACAATGAATTGTCTGCTGTGTAGAATGTTTGGCCACTGCACAAGTTTGCTGTGTGAAATGCCCATCGTGTTGTGTAGATAGTCAAACTTCAACTTAAATTGGTGGTTTCCTAAACACAAAAACAAGAAATGAGAATTGAACACTGTATCAATGGCTCAGTTACCTTGGATTGCTTATAATAATTTACGTATCAACACGTACATCTAAAAAGATGTAATTACGATTTTATTTGTGCTTTGTTGATACGAGTCGACACACCAACATACATATAGCATTGTAAATTAACTAGCAGCACTTTTTCTTGAAATTCTGACCTAGTGTAAAATGAATAAGCATGCATGGGCAAGACGAAGAGTATCGAGATTGCATGATAATCCTATACATCAGTGGAGAATTCCTACATGCTCCTCCTACCTGTCATCCATATTTTTGGATTGAGTAGAAGCATCTGTTTCATCTCAAGTTTTGAAAACCCACATTCTTCTTGCACTGTGAACCTTAGAACCTGTAAAAATATCACATTCAAATCATTAACATAATGAACAGTGCATTAAACTAAATGGGAAACACTCGCCAAAAAATACAATCTTACCTGTTTACTCATAAAGATATACTTCAAATCATTCTATCTTCTAATCCACAATGTTCATTTATCTGAACAATCTGATACATGCCCAACAAAACAATGTAATCATTGAATGTAAACTCACCTTTATCTTTTCTACTGGCCACAAAAGAATCTTTGGAGCTGTTGTTACTACACTTCTAACCTCGTTGCCACTAAGGTGAAAGTCCTTTTGTATATAACCCAACTTTCCATCAATCTGCCTTGTGGTCATGGAAAGAACTCGAGGTGCCACTATGGCTATACGTGTGATAGCTTCTGTTGTGAACTTCTTTGAATGGAAGTAGTTCAAGCGAATCTATAAGATAGTCAATCATGCAGTTAGTGTTTTTCAAAACAATATATTTACAACAAAATAATTACAAATACATGGTAGAATACATGGATAAATTCATTCCCAGGAATCTGTGGTGCTGATGCACCTCCAAATATATATATATATATATATATATATATATATATATATCAGAAGTAGATAATAGGAAAGGAGTGTGACTTCAATAAACAAGGGTGATTCGTCATTTACTAGCCTTAGAATACCTACGATTTACTACGCGTAACTCAACCAACTTTAGCTCAAATCGTACACAGTACATTCGCCTAGCATCGTGCAAAATCGTTTCCTCGTATACACCCGCAATACGGAGATACAGACTAAAACGTATGACACAATTCTCCATTCTGTTGCCAGCAAACCGAATGTATAACCCGCCTAACTTGAAACAATAGGCAGCTACTAACGACTCTACCGCACTCTTGTGCCTTCGGCGATGCGGTGTGGCTCGCTGGGAAATTGGACATCAACGCAACACTCGGCGAGCTAATCTTTGACCTATTTACAGCTGGTATGACCCCCCACACGCCCACCGCAATCAGCAGCAGCTCCAGCTCCAATCTCCCAGCGAGCCACACCGCATCGCCGAGGGCACAAGAGTGAGCAAAAGTCGTTAGTACTGCTTATTGTTTCAAGTTAGGCGGGTTATACATTCGGTTTGCTGCCAACAGAATGGAGAATTGTGTCGTACGTTTTAGTCTGTATCTCCGGATTGCGGGTGTATACGAGGAAACGATTTCGCACGATGCTAGGCGAATGTACTGTGTACGATTTGAGCTCAAGTTGGTTGAGTTACACGTAGTAAATCGTAGGTATTCTAAGGCTATAGTAAATGACGAATTTCCCTTGTTTATTGAAGTCACACTCCTTCCCTATTATCTACTTCTGATATATATATATATAGCCACCATACATTTTAAGATCCAAACACAGATGCTGAACATTTGACATGAAAGGCACTTTCCTAAACCACAAAAATTTATGCCTTCAAGTTTTATTTAGACCTAAAATAATTTTTCTTATTTAACTTTTCACAGATTTTTCACAGCTCATTAGCATTACAATCATAATGCAGAGTTACCTGTAAGTCATCTAGATCTTCTTTTAATATTAACGGGTTTTGTGAGATAAAAGCACCGGTCTCCATTCCGGTCAGTCCGATATCACTCAAAAACTGAATGTACACCTTCACGTCCTTCTCAAAGTCCAAAGCTACGAGAAGGTCTGCTGCACCCTTAGTCTTTTCACACTTGTGAAGGTCAACTCCCATTTTCACTAGATGTTGAAGGCATGTAGACTCATTCACGTATGCCGCTAGTGTAAATGAGGTTTTCAGCACAGGTCGAATTTCGGAAAGATCCAGTTCCTGCTTTGGCAGCCTATCAACTAGTTCGTCCAGATCTATATCAACTTCACCAACATCCAATTTTACACCATTGGATTTCTCCCTAAGAGACGGTAGGTTCTCGCCCTTGTCCGATAGTGATGCCTGCTGCAAAGTGCCATCATTAAAGGGAACGTCCTCCCGCATCGGCGTTTTGGAAATATCTGAGCTGGATGGCTTCATTTCACGAGCACTAGCAGTGGTATTGGTTTTATGACATCCTCTTCTGTTACACGAGGCCAGGTACCCAACTCCGACTCGACATTGTTGTGTGATTAATACATTTTTGCTGTTCACGACAGCATTGAGCAGTGCCATGCCTTTTATAATGCTAGTTCTTGTACATGCTGATGAGGCCATTATTATCGCGTTCGCACCTGCCTTTTTTATAGATTATAATGTCAATGTAGACAATTGATGCGGCGTATGTTTCACTGACTCTTCATAATCATAGCATGCAATTGATTATTGAATTGTTCATTACAAATACTCGCTTTACAATCACTCGCTTTCAAATACTTCTTTACAAATAATTAATACCGGTACTCGTTTCGATATTGTTTGCCTGTGAGCACACTAATTACTTGCAGCGCAACAAAACTTGTGTATCACAAACAACTGCTTAACAGCTTCACCGTGACCCATCAGAACAAACTAATTAACTTGGCTCTGTTCTGTTACAGTAAAAAGACCCTCGGACTTTGAAGACTAATAATAATATGAGCCTGAGGTTACAATACAAGCACTGGATGGGCGCAGCCATGCTACCTGCCTGCAAGCTGCTGCATGTGCGTTACATTTTTTTGTAGTTCGCCATAATTAGATGTAAAACTGTTTGGTTTTGCCAAACAATAATATATTGTTAGCTGAAATTATTATTAAATCAGTTGGCATCAAGACGAAACGGAGATTTGCCTATGCATCTGCACGCGGCTGCTGCCACGGGAGGCCCTGACGTCATCGTTGATATTGGTCGCCGTGAGTCGTGTGGGATTTGCCATTTGATGCAGTGTGATGGCGCGTGACTCTTTACCGTGTTGTGGTCACAACCGAAAGTGACCTTTGCGTGGGTTGAAGAAAAGACACAGCAGCATGGCACAACGCATAAGAACTTACAGTATGAGCTCAGAAGCTAGCAATCACTTCCATAGCATTAATGAACATCCGGTCGATGATATTTCGCTAGAGTTTTTCTATAAACCTCACACTGTTACTCTACTGACAGTTTCCATCCTCGGATTGCTTTATTCCGTGTTTACAAGGTAAAATAAGTGGCCCAAGGATAGAGAACATGGGTCTCAATAAAACCAATGTGCCTAACCCTAACCCTATATTATCTATCCTTGAACCAAATAAGTTATATAGTGGTATTGGCAGTGCTACTAGTTTCATGGACACTTGCCAGCATCGATAATGAATCTAACCATGTTATATACAATAACAATACAGTAACAATGTACAATAACAAAGTAACAAAGTAACAAGTACAATAACAATACAGTAACAATGGGTAATAATATAATCGGGCTTTTTTTTCTGTGATCTGCAGTGTTGCCGTTGGTCTGTCTATTTGATCAACTTTGTCTCTTTGCATCTTCGATATCATATGATATAGTTCCTTGAACTTTTAAAGACTGATGTTTATGAGGTTATAACACATACATAGTGGTCACGTTAACTTCGGCATCTCAGTTCATAATAATATTAATACTAATAGTCTGGGTCTGAATCTTTTTTATCATTTGTCATCCCCACCTAACCACAGGCACTTGGAACGTCTCAATAAAAAAAAGGTAAATAAACACGAAATGTATTTACTACCAGTCTTAGTGTTTCTCTACTCTATGTCACCTATTATTGCCGATAATTACCCGTAAATGCCGGTCAAATGCTCATCTGCAACACACTAGTACACCGCACGCCCGCCCTTAGCTCCAAGAAACGGTATTGCTAGGGTTGGAATATGGACGTATATATATATTGACGTTATTGACGTATATTGACGTTAGTCACACAGCCTGGTCGGGTTAGCCTGCCCTGTGCACAAACACCATGAATAAGAGAGCAGGTAGGAAAGTGTGATCGCAAAATTCGCTCGACGCTCGTTTCATTTCACACCTTCACAGCACGAATACACATCCAACAGCTTCCATCTTGGTATCTATGTGTAGCTAAATGTTTACTTGTTCGAATTATAACTCTGTCCTTTGTCCTTACCTACTCCCGCCAGAGATATCTCGTGAAATCCTGCAGGAAATGTTCTCCGTGAAAATGTAAAGAGGACGTATCATCCAAAAATCCCTAACGGCGCTACTTTCGATCGATCACTGCGTGTGTGTGTGACGTCATGCCCGCGCGCATTATGCTTGGTTTGGCGGGCCTCGAAACGGAGGCTCGGAGGCAGGCAGCAGCTCATCCTGGCATGCAATGCGCCGCCATTACTCGTGTATAAACAGACATCTCGTCCTCTTTACAAATTACATGCTCTACATTTTCACGGAGAGAACATTTCCTGTAGTAGTTTACGAGATATCTCTGGCGGGAGTAGGTAAGGACAAAAGACAGAGTTATAATTCGAACAAGTGAACATTTAGCTACAGATAGATACCAAGATGGAGGCTGTTTGTTGTGTTTCTGTTCTGTAGTCGTGTGAAATGAAGCGAGCGTCGAGCAAATTTTGCGATCACACTTTCCTACCTGCTAACTTATTCATGTTGTTTGTGCACAGGGCGGGCGTGCGGTGTACTTGTGTGTTGCAGGTGAGCATTTGACCTGCGTTTACGTGTAATTATCGGCAATAATAGGCGACATAGAGTAGAGAAACGTTAAGACTTTAGTAGTAATTACATTTCGAGTTTATTTACCTTTTTTTTTATTGAGACGTTCCAAGTGCATGTGCACCTAACAGTAACAGTAACACATGCAGTTATCGTAGACTGCAGTGCTCAATTTTAAGGTTTTTTTGGTGTTTCACTCATTATATGACGAGAATAAAATATTGATAATGTGGTAAATGATGCTGGGATCAATGACGTATAATAATAGTAATTAAATGTTGCATGAAATTTATTTCATAACATTTACATTAACACTGTGTCAAGTCACAGATGAGCAAAAATTGAAAATTAACAAATTTCAAAAAAAAATTTAATTTAGAGGTTGGGCCACCGGACAACCACGGAAGCAATTTGTAGTTGCCCGAGAGAAAATCCAGTCGTTACGGACGACCGGACGACTGTTAAAATTGAGCACTGGACTGTGTATAGTGCCTTGGGTAAAGCTACTACAAGAAAGAATGAGAGCACCTAAATGCCAGACCTGATCCTTTAAACTGTATATATGACATGAACAAGGAGGACCTATAAATAGCATTGTATTTATTTTGCAGGGATGATAATGTTGCAGAGGAAAATCTCATTAGTGGATTGTGTGCTGTGGTGTTTTTCTTCTTGATTGTGAGTGTTCTCACATTTCCTAATGGTAATTATATTAATATTTTTTCATTTTAATAGTAGGAATGCACATAGTTTGTTATTCGCAGAAACTTCATACATAACTCGTAGTCATAGTCATAAGTCATAAGAAAACACTTATTACACAAATTCGCTATCTCATCATCTAAGGGACTAGGAGTCTAACGAAAAAGCAGAAAGTCAACGTTAATAAACTTAACAAAATGCTACTGCAGACAGCAGTAAAAACGGTGCCTATTTCACAATTAACTGAGAGGAAGGAAGAGAATTCCGGTCCTAAGCTAAGTAATGAATGACACAAACAGTAAAACGCTGCCACTATCGCCAGCTTTCGCACCTAATTCGTACTCAGGAATATGACTAGTACTACTACTAGTAATAGTATATAATATACTAGCCGTATTCCTGGGCATTATTACTTACTGTAAGAGTGTTAAAAGTACAATAACACCATTGAAATTACGTCTCAGTAAGAATAATGGAACACTTCCAAACTACATGCAGTTCACACTCGTACACTCAGGATAGAGATAGCAAAGATTGAGTGAGCCCATGAGCGAGAGCGCCATCTGTCGTGGAGTTTGGAACACTGCTTGACTATGGTAGATAACGTGCATATAAATCAACGAGCACAGTCACTTCGACTTTTCGTTGATTTATATGCTCTGCCGCTACTACCACAGACTAACGGATACCGGCATCCGTTAGTCTGTGCTACTACCGTTTGTTATCTCTGTCATGCCGGCAGGGGTGACGTCAGAAACCCGCTTATAACACTACATGAAATGAACCCTGAGGTTTTGTGTGACGTCGCCGCCCGGCGTGGCATTGCAACGATAATTGCGTCCATATATAGCTACTAAACACATACTCGTGTATCTACTTATGGTTGCGCCAAAAGTTCCAATAGAAGCAATTTACTAGGCATTAATGCCAGCATGGTTTCTCAGAATGAGAAGAAACTATTACATTTTACCCCAAACATTTTTAACGGAAAGATCTGTCTCCTGTGCAGCCCTAGCAGGGTATAGCCGAAATCTTTCACCATCAAGTGAAACAGTTACAGGTGTTAAAACGAAAAGAAAACTAAGCAGTTGCCGTATATAAAACAAATCATACATTCACCGCATAACACAATTTAGACATTAACAACATAAAGGCCGCCGCACACCAGCCGAGTTTACAAACCGAGTTTTCAAATCCACACCGTTATCCCCGCTTTAAACAATTTGCGTTGACGTGCTAAACTATTACACACTAAACCCACTCGTCGACTCGACATTGTTGTGTGATTAATACATTATTTGCTGTTTCATCGAACAGCATGAGCAGTGCCATGGCCTTTTATAATGTAGTTCTTGTAGCATGCTGATGAAGGCCATATATTATGCGTTCGCACTGCCTTGTTTTATAGATTAAATGTCAATGTAGACAATTGATGCGGCGTATGTTTTCAGCTGACTCTTCAACCAGAATCATAGCCTGGCAATTGATTATTGGAATTTTGTTGCATTACAAATACTCGCGTTTACAATCACTCGCTTTCAAATACTTCTTTACAACATAATTAATACGTCCACTCGTTTCGATATGTTTGCCTGTGAGCACACTAAATTAACTTGGGCAGCGGGCAACAAACTTGTGTATCACAAGTTCAACTGCTTAACAGCTTCACCCGTGACGCCATCAAGACACAAACTAATTAACTGGCTCTGTTTGTTACAGTAAAGAAGACCGCTCGACTTTGAAGAGCTAATAATAATGATGAGCCTGAGGTTACAATACAAGCCACTGGATGGCGCAAAGCCATGCTACCTTGCCTGCCAAGGCTGCTGGCATGTGCGTTACATTTTTCTGTAGTTCGCCATAATTAGATGTATAACTGTTTGGTATTTGGCAAAACAATAATATAATGTGTAGCTGAAATTTTATTAATCAGTTTTTGGCATCAGAGCGAAACGGAGATTTTCCTATGCATCTGCACGCGGCTGCTGCCACGGGAGGCCCTGACGTCATCGTTGATATGTGCGCGCCGTGAGTCGTGTGGGATTTGCCAATTTGACTGCAGTGTGAATGCGCGCGTGACATCTTTACGTGTTTGTGGTCAGCAACCGACACAGTGACCTTTGGGTGGGTTGAAGAAAAGACACATGCCAGCATGCACAACGCATAAGAACTTACAGTATGAGCTCAGAAGCTAGGCATCACTTGCCATAGCATTAATGAACAGTCCGTCGATGATATTTCGCTAGAGTTTTTTTCATATAAACCTCACACTGTTACTCTACTGACAGTTTCCATTCCTCGATTGCTTTATTCCGTGTTTACAAGGTAATAATAAGTGCGCAAAGGATTAGAGAATCTGGTCTCAATAAAACCAATTGTGCCTAAACCCTAACCTATAATTATCTTATCCTTGACACCAAATAGTTATATAGTGGTAATTGCAGTGCACTAGTTTCATGGACACTTTGCCAGGCATCGATAATGAATCTATACCTAGTTATATACAATGGTAATAATATAATCTGGGGCTTTTTTTTGTCTGCGATCTGCAGTGTTGCCGTTGGTCTGTCTATTTGATCAACTTTGTCTCTTGCATCTTACGATATCATATGATATAGTTCCTTGAACTTTAAAGATCTGATGTTAGAGGTTATAACACATACATAGTGGTCAACGTTAACTCGGCATCGTCCAGTTCATAGATACATATTAATACTAATAGTCTGGGTCTGAACTCTCTTTTATCCATTTGTCATCCGCCGCCTCCGGGCGGCGCCCCCGGCCCGTGCCCACCTAACCACAGGCAGCTTGAACGTCCGCTCAATAAAAAAAAGTAAAGTTAAACACGAAATGTATTTACTAGCAGTCTTTAGTGTTTCTCTACTGCTATGTCACCTATTATTGGCCGATAATCTACGCCGTAAATGCCGCGTCAATGACTGCATCTGGCAACACACTAGATACAGAAACCGCACGCCGCCCTTAGCTAAAGAACGGTATTGCTAGGGTTGGATACTCGGACGTATTATATATATTGAACGTAATTGACGTATATTGACGTTACAGTACACCCAGCGCTGGTCCGGTTACGGCCTGCCTGTCACAACCACCATGGAATAAGAGAGGCACGGTAGGAAAGTGTGATCGCAAAATTCGCGTCGACGCTCGTTTCAATTTCACACCTTAACATGCACGAATAGCACATCCACAGCTTCCATCTTGGTAATCTACTGTGTAAGGCTAAATGTTTACTTGTTCGAATTATAACTCTGTTCCTTTGTCCTTACCTACTCCAAAGCCAGAGACTATTCTCGTGAAATCGCTTGCAGGAAATGTTCTCCGGAAAATGTAAAGAGGACGTAATGCATCCGCCAAATCCCTAACGGCCGCTACTTTCGTTCGATCACTGCGTGTGTGTGTGACGTCATGCCCGACGCATTATGCTTGGTTTGGCGGGCCTCTGAAACGGAGGCTGCGGAGCAGGCAGCAGCTCATCCTGGCATGAATGCGCCGCCATTTGACTCGTGTACTAAACAGACATCTCGTCTCTTACATGGCTGCTATCATTTTTCACGGAGAGAACATTCTCTGTAGTAGTTTACGAGATATCTGCTGGGCAGGAGTAGGTAAGGAGCAAAAGACACGAGTTTATAAATTCGAACAAGTGAACATTTAGCTAGCAGATAGATTAACGAAAATGGAGGGCTAGCTTTGTTGCTGTTTCTGTTTTTGTCAGTCCGGTGGAAATGAAGCGAGCGTCGAGCAAATTTGGCGATCACACTTTGCTAGCCTGCTAATCTATTCATGTGTTGTGTGGCCAGGGGCGGCGCGTCGCGTGTACTGTGTGTTGCAGTGAGCATTTGACCTGCGTTACGTGTAATTATCGCAATAATAGGCGACATAGAGTAGAGAAACGTTAAGACTTTAGTAGTAATTACATTTCGAGTTTATTTACACCTTTTTTTTATTGAAGAAGCGTTCCAAGTGCATGTGGCACGCTAAGCAGTAACAGTAACACAATGGGCAGTTATCGTAGACTGCAGTGCTCAATTTTAAGGTTTTTTTGGTGTTTCACTCATTATAATGACGAGAATAAAATATGATAATGTGGTAAATGAATGCTGAATCAATGACGTATAATAATAGTTATTTAAATGTTGCATGAATTATTTTATTTCATAACCATTTACATTAACACTGTGTCAAGTCAATATATAAATTTTTATCAAATGATGAGCAAAATTGAAAATTACAAATTTCAAAAAAAATTTAATTTAGATGGTTGGCCACCGGACAACCCAACGGAAGGCAATTTGTAGTTTGCCGAGAGAAAAGTCCAGTCGTTAGCGGACGACCGACGACTGTTAAAATCTGAGCACTGGACTGTGTATAGTGCTCTTGGGTAAAGCTACGCACAAGAAAGAATGAGAGCACCTAAATGCAAGAGCCTGATTTCCTTTAAACTGTATATATGACATGAAGCAAGGAGGACCTATAAAATAGCATTGCTTTCTTTTGCAGGATGATAATGTTGGGGCAGAGGAAAATCTCATTAGTGATTGTGTGCTGTGGTGTTTTCTCTTGATCTGTGAGTGTTCTCGACATTCGCTAATGGTTAATTATATAATATTTTTCATTTAATAGTAGGAATGGCACATAGTTTGTTACTAAAAAAGATG